GGGCCCCGGGGAGGGCGCGGGCGTGCGCGCTGGAGAGGGTGCGGGCGACAGGCCCCCGGGGGGCGGCGGGCTGGGCGGGAGCCCGTGCTCCAGCAGGAAGGCGTCCAGGTCCACGTATTCCACGTCGCCGAAAGGCAAAGTGCGTTCCCACAGCAGCGGCGCAAAAAGACTCGGGCCAGCCCCCGGCCCCGAGCGTCCCCGCGGGGACCCCCCGCCACCGACTGCCCCTGCCGGGGCATCGGCTGGGCCAGCCGTCTCCAGGCCCGGTCCCGGGACGGGAGCTGGGGGCAGAGTCGCCTTCCGCTCCTTTTCCTTCAGGAGACCTGTGGGTCAGGGGGAGACGGGATGGGGAGGAGACACACGGGAGGGGCCCCCAAGTCAGAGATGAAGTAGAGAGACACGCATGGCCGAGATGCAAAGAAGCGATGAGACAGACGGGAGCCGTACGGCAAAGACCCCGAGAAGTGCGGGCAGGTTAGGGAGACAGGAACCCAGGAAGGAGAGAGGCATAAACCCGGGGGTTGGGGAGGCCCAGAAAGAGGGACAGGACGACAGGGACCCCAAGAGAGAGAAAGAGAAAGTATACGGAGAGACAGGGATGGAGACACAGAAAACAACCCCGAGGTAAATGATGGAAGTTTAGAAAGAGGGATTTAGAGACAGGGTGGGTGAAAGGTTGGGCAGGTGAGAGAGAAAAAGTGACAGCTCAGTAAGTCCCCCACCCCTGGCACCGTCGCCCCCCTCCCCCACACTCGGTTCGGGGCAGGAAGCGACCCACAGCTCGGGCACATTCCTCCTTTCTCGTTTCCATGTGATCCTGCGAGGCCCCGCCCAAGCCCGTGTCAGCACCGTGTGAGCATCCGACACACCCCCTCCCTCCCCAGGATTCCAGGGGTCCAGACTCCCGGGCCGAAGGGAAGGAAGGGGGGCTGGCACCTAGACTCCGTCCTAACGGAGGAAGCCTCTGGGGACTTGACCCTTGGGCCTTCCAGGGGTCAGATTTAGCCACGGACGCTGAGAGACTGAGATGGCCCAACACCTGAGTAACCGAATGACAACTAGGGAAGATGGGACACCTAGCACACAGGACCACCACCCCAACATTTCAGTCCTTAAGACAGTGGGGCTAGAACTCACAGCTGGCCGGCTCTTTGGGCTTGCTGGTCCCCTGCAGAAGGCTCCGCAGCCCAAGCAACGCTCCCCCGCCAGCGGGGGCCCCTGCCGGGCCTCCCAACAGCAGGGGGCCCGGGGTCCTGTCGCTCAGAGGCCGCGCCATCGCCGGACACCGGCTCCCAGGTTCATGAGCTCATGGAGAGTCGACGAGATGCTAGACCAGTCACCTGCCCACGGCTGGGGTTCGGCCGAGTGTGTCCCGGGGTCGGGAGAGCTGCGCGGCTGCGAGACTCCGGTATCAGAACGTAGCAGATCCTAAGAGCTCTGCGGGGGTCAGCCAGTCCTCTGCAGGAAGGTGCAACTCCAGAGTGTCCCGGGAGGATCCGATAGTCGGGGCGAGTGGGTGACCGAGCAGCTGTCTCTTTGCAACTGAGGGTCCCCAAGGGACACAGGCGCGCGCTCCTGCCGCACCAGGTGGGCGAGCCTCTAGCTCTTGACAATTTTGCACTTCTCGCAAGGAAAGGAGCTTTGCAATCTGCACCCAGAGGTGTGCGCCCAGGGGCGGAGGAGGAGGGGGCAAGAGGAGGCGGCAGCCTTGGGGCGTGGCCAAAGCAAACTTCTTTCGCGGAAAAAAAAAAAAAAAACCCAAACCAAAACACCCGACGCCAGAGCGCGTGCCCCTCCTCCGGGCCCCCTCCCTCCTCTCGGGCCATGCACCCCAGCCGCGTGCCTCCCTCGGGCTTCAAGCAAGGGCCAATCACATCCCGAGCCCTTGAGACGCTCAGCCAATGAGGTGACGGGATCTGCCAAGGCCCTGGAGGCGCGTGAGGGGCTGAGCGTGTGAAGTTGCCTCTCCTTCTGGATGAAGGCGGGACACTGACCTACATTTGGCCAATGAGAGGCGGCACTGGGGGCGGGACCGTGACCCACTTCAAGCCAATGAGGCAGGAAGAAGGGGGAAGCACATGGCCCAGCGCGTGCTGCCCGACTCGGGTGTGGGGCAGGAGGGGTGTCTCTTAAAGGAGCCGTCTGTCCACGGGCTCCTCACTTGAGGAAAAACGCAGCACACCGATCAGAAGAGGTTAAAGCAGAAAGAAGTGGGCTTCAGGAAAAATTACTTTTTAATACCCAGATATTTCTCAATCGCGACTGAGAATCCCACCGCCCAGAAGCTGGAAACATCCGGTCCCTTTAATAGCTTTGCTTTAGGGTGGCTCCCCTTCCCTGGTGAGGAAGTCAGGACAGGCGGGGGTAATCCTCGTGTCGGAGGGTCTCAGCGACCATGAGGACCACCGTCCACTGCAAAAGAAGGTGCGGGCTTGTGGGGAGTCTGAGCGCATCCTAAGGCTCTATCTACCACAGTCTGGCTGCTAAAGGGGGCTGGAGTATACCCAGTTGGGGGAAGAGTCAGCGCCTGGACCGGACCATAGAGAGAGGGAAGGGGGTCAGATGGGACGTGCAGATTAGGCTGCTCGGCATCAAGGTGGTAGTACGGGAAGGGGAACTGGAAATCTGGGCTGTACCATGCACCCGGTCGAGAAGATTTCCGGGGGAAGAACACAGTGGCAGTTAGGAAGACAGGGGGATTGTACCACATGGATTGTGAGAAAGGGGGTAGCCATAAGTGGGTCATACCATTTGTAAACAGGTGAGTTGGACCGTACCATCTTGGAAAGTGACAATAGGCAGAGGGCAAGAAGCAGTATGTAAATGCACCGCAAGGAAAGCAGAGGGTGTCGGGTCTTAGACTAAGCTGTAAAGAGGGGTGGGCTACACCACGCTGTTCCATGGGGAGAGGGAAAAAGGACTGAGGGATGTGTCACACAGAGAGACCGCTGCGAATAAGTGCAGACTGTATCAAGGCGTGGAGAAGAGCACACATTAAGCGTACCATGCAGGCGGTAGTTGGGGCCTCGGCATCGCCTCTCGGGGTGCCGGGGGTCCCGGTTGCCCCTCAAGGCTCTGTGGGCCAAGGGCTGCAGGGGCCGGCCATTACCGCTGAGGCTCTGGAAGATCTGGGAGGGGGGATTCTGGCTCAGGAGTCTCAGGGAGTGCATCTGCCTCAAGAGAAGCACGGGAAAACATGGGTGAATGGAAAGGGAATAATGCCCAGGGAAGGCAGTACTCGGGATAGGGGCAGCATGCACACATGAGGTCACCTGGAGGGAGGTGATATTGAGAGCCCTGTCGATGAGGATCCAGGTGACAGTCTCGGAGCACGGAGGAGTGCTGAGGGAGCCCTGATAGGTGATGAAGCCAAAGGATTCTGGGAACAGGAGCTCCAGGCTCAGGTCTTGAAGAAAGTAGGCATCATCTGTGGGGATATCAATCCAGTGTGAAAGGGTGTCCCCTGGGAACCCACGTGTGTGCAACCAATCCATGGGGACTTCGTTATTTTTGTTACAGATTGGTGATTGAACCTAAGGCTTCAGGCATGCTAGGCAGGTACCACTGAGTCAGGCCCCCAGCCCCTCACTGGGGGATTCAAATCAGGAGTTTTCTCAGCAAGTGACACCTCCAGCCTCTCACTTTCTGTCTGGGGACTGGATCTCACTAAGTAGCCCAGACACTGACCTTGTTTGTCACCCTTCTTTCTCAGCCTCTCTAGTAGCTGGGATTCCACCCCAAGCTCAGGGACTTACTCTTGTAGGAGATTCGGGTGATGGTGTCCCGGTTGAGGAGGCGACTGAGGAATGGGTTGGAGCTGCCAGCCACCTATGCAGGGGGCATGAGGCGAGGAGACAGCAGCCCAGGGGTCCCCAGAGGCCCACCACCCCCATCGTAAGGATCCTGGCCTCCCAGCCTCCCTTGTCCCTCACACCCTGGAAGCCAGGTGCCCATCTTGCCTCCCTCACATTGACAAAGAGGCTGAGAATGGCCAGGCCATTGGGGCCCCTTGAGGCAGCGCTGAGATTTCCGTAGAGCTCTTGGTTGAAGTGAATCAGCTGCACCTGGGGGGTAGGGAGCCAGAGAAGAGGTCCTGAGCTGAGCGGAAGCGAGCATGGTTTCAGCTCTCAGGCCTTTGTGTCCAGAATTGCATTAGGGATTAGTACTTAGGGTGGGGACAGGTAGCCCTGGGTAGAAGGATGGGGTGAAGCATTAAGCTAAAACAAAACAAAACAAAAACCAGGGTGACCTAGTGTGAGGGTCATAGGTTAGAGGTCACCACCTCAGCAGAGAAGCCCTGGTGGTTGATCTGGTGTTCAGAGCCAGCCCCATCTCGAGCTCCAAACAGCAGCCGAAGTTCACTGAGTCGGTGGCTGTAAAGAAGAGGACCCCCAGACACGTTGACCACAGGGCGGGGTGCAGGCAGGAAGGAGACATGGCGGCCAGTGTTGTACAAGGTTCCCCGGAGCTGCAGGAGAGGTAGAAGCTATTGCGGACACAGATGGCTCCCACCCATCCTCCACTCATCCATTCCCCAGGCCAACAATTATTTAATATGGATTAGGCATAAGCCACCCCCCAGGCTCAGACCATGTCTTCTGCAGATATTCAACACTGATAAATTAATTCGGTTACAAGTACTGGGCCAGGAGTACTGTTTCAGGCTTGTAATCCCAGCCCTGAGAAAACTGAGGCAGGAATGCCATGAGTTCAAGTGCAGACTAGGCTATCGAATGAGTCTTTCTTTTTTTTTTTTGTTTGTCTGGTTTTTGTTTTGTTTTGTTTTGTTTTCCAAGACAGGGTTGTTCTATATAACACCTCTGGCTATCCTGGAACACGCTTTGTGGACCAGGCTGGCCTCAAACTCACAGAGATCCGCCTGCCTCTGCCTCCTGTGTAGCTGGGATGACAATGTGGTCCAAATAATGGACAGCAGGGTATAGAGCTGCAGGCCATGCAGGACTGGATAAGGATGGACAGTGGAGGGGCAGGAAGAGAAAAAGACAGGAAGGATATTCTCCGTGAGCAGAGCGGGGGAAGCAGATCTGAGGGACCGAGGCTTTTGGCTCACGGTGCCAGCTCTTCTAAAGAAATGGTACCTCGCCGGGCGGTGGTGGCGCATGCCTTTAATCCCAGCACTCGGGAGGCAGAGGCAGGAGGATCTCTGTGAGTTCGAGGGCAGCCTGGGCTACAGAGCGAGTTCCAGGACAGGCACCAAAGCTACACAGAGAAACCCTGTCTCGAAAAACAAAAAAAGAAAAAAGAAAAAGAAATGGTACCTCAGTGAGTGTCCTTAGTACAGACACTGAGGCCACACCACCTGGTGTGACGGCTGTGTGACCCCAGGCAAGTAACTTTCTATCCATAAAATGAGGATAATATAAAATAAGGATGATAAAATAGCACCTGTTTTGTAGGTTATTGTGAAGATTAGTGGGTTTGTTAAGCCTTTTCAATTGCTTGGCATGGGCTGCCTTCTGTCTTCACTAATTGGGCAAACATGGGAAGTTGAGGAAACCAGTGGGGAAGGGAAGAACTGGTGAACTTCAGAGGATAAAGAGCCTTCTCTCCACCCAGCTGGTACCTTTGGTTCCCCACAGTTCACCACCCACCTCTGCACGGGTCCCCTCTGCTCATACTCACCCATGGCAAGGCTCCTTACCTTTTCTCCCCCGGTGCTGAGCCGGAGCGGAGGCAGAAAAGGGTCGTAAAGAACCCGCTTCAGCTCCACATCCACGGGGCTCTGCCGCTTCCCCACAGCGCACAGGGTCCAGGCAGCATTCACCAGGCCCCAGAAGGGAGGCCCTGTGGGGACAGAAACAGGCTGGATCTCAGGCAGGACCTGCGGGGTTGGACTGGGGCAGGGATAACCCATCTGAAGCTAAGAAGGAGCCGCATAAGAGCCAGAATCCTAATTCCTAGAAGAATTTTGGAATCCTTTCCTAACACCTCCAAGCCTTCCCTGTATTTTTCCCAGGTTAAATTAAATCTATGTAAAAACAAAACTACAACTCCCAATAGGCCTCAGAGGTGAAACCAACTAATCCATCCCCTGTCTTTCCTATAGCCCCATGGGAGTTGTAGTTCTTTAGTCTCCCAGGTCCCACAGCTGGATTAGAGTATTAGGGGAGAGGAGTTGCCGAAGAGGGCTAGAAGGCCCGGGTGAGGGGGCGGGGCGGGGACTTGAGCTTCTGAGTCTGTGCCTTTCAGCCGGAATTGGACCTGTCTATGGCTGCAAACACATACATATCTCTCCACCCCCACACTTTTCTTTCCCTGCACTCACTCCCACTCACTACTTGAAATGCGCATGTATAATGTCCCATGGTGAGCCGCTGAGGTTCAGAGGCTGGGTCCCACTCCTGGGGGGGAGAAAGCAGGGGCTGGGAGCACTGGTCTCGTGGAAGATGAGAGGATCGAGGACCCAGAGTCGGGAGTCTGGGGAAAACGGCACCTAGGAATATGGGGTCGGGCTCTGGGTCCCCACCCTGTTTGCACCTGGCACGAAGTTTCCCTGGAGATTCTCCTTGTAGCTCCACCAGTCCTCGGGATCAGGTGCAGGTCCGATGTGAGCTGGGAAGAGAGCATCCTGCATCCCTCTCCTAGGCACCCCACCCCGCTCCTCCCTCAGGGGCTGCTGCCTGGACCCCCAGGTCTTACCTGCCGCTCCCAGTGCGGCCCAGAGCACCAGCGCTTGAGGGGCGCTCAGGCGAGCCGCACCCCCCATCCAAGAGGCCTCGGAGCGACCCTTTCCCAGCGCCCGGCCCCCTAGCTCTTCCCTCCCCTCCTCCTGGGACTTCCAGCCTGGCTGTGCCCAGCACGGGAGCCCTAGCTCCCGAGATGCAGGGTCTGGGACCGCGCACCCCAGTGCCTGTTTGAAGTGCACTCCTCCGCCCGCCTGGGCCCGCGCCCTGCTCTCGCTCTATCTCCCAGAGCTGCGATCGGCCTCGCCGGCACCGGGTCCCTCTCGGTGCCGATGCACACCCCCTCTTCGCTCTCATCCAGCGAACCTAGCCGCGCACTCGCCGCGTGCACTCTCCTCCCTCCGCCTCCTCCCTCACCCTGCCTTCTCTTCTTTCCTCCGTCCTCCTCCTCCCTGTTCGACTCTGCCTTCCCTTCTTCTCTCTCACCTCCTCCCTCGCCCTGTGCTACCTCTTCCTCTTTCCATCTCCTCCCTCCCTCGCTCCCTCCCCCCACCCCCATCACCTCGAGTTCTGATTCCCTCTTCCCCACCCGCATGCTCCCACTGGTTTAATGTTTGGCTGGGGGCCTCCGCAGTGGAAAGGGCCGCACCCCGGGACCAGCCCTGGGAAGGGAGGTACAGTGCCGCTGAGAGGGCCCTGCTCCAGGTGCCAAGGCCAGAACGGACTGGGCACTGGGGACCTGGAGTGCAGAAAGGCCACTGGCCGGGAGGGGGAGGCAGAGACCAGCGGGGGGACTGGAGGATGAGCAGAAGGCTGGAGGCGAGCTTAGGCTGGGAAGGAGGGACCCGGTGCTCAGAAGGGGCGGGGGAGGGAGAGCAAGATGTCAGGTAGGAGGGAGAGACAAGAGAAATAGAGAGACACAGAGAGACTTGATGGTCAGAACCAGGCAGGCAGGAAGTATGGAGACACATTAGAATCACAGACACAGAAAGAGACCTGCTTAGAGAAAAAAAAACGAGCAAGATGCCATGCAGAAGGGGAGGGGGTTCAGGCACTGAAAAGCATGATGCTAGGCCACAGGAAAGGAGACAGAGACATACAAACACATAGAGCAAGCATGGTGGTCCCCACGTGTGATCCCAGCATTCAGGAGGCTGAGGATCTGAAGCCATCCTAGGCTACACAGTAACACCTTGTCTAAACAAAACAACTAACAGCCCACAGAGAACAAGAATGAAGGAGCCACAGGACAGAGAGGTGGAAGGAGGCAGGCACTAAGAAATAACAATAGAAGCTGGAGGTGGGGGGCACAGTAGTGGTGTCTGCCTTTAATCCCAACAATCAGGAGGCAGAAGCAGGGGGATCTCTGAGTTCGAGGCCAGCTTGATCTACAGAGCGAGTCCCAGGACAGCCAGTGCTACACAGAGAAACCCTGTCTTGAAAAACAAAAACAAAACAGAAAGAAATACATTAAAGATAGAAGCGGGGACACCCAGCCATGGGATTAAAGGACACGTTGGGCAGGCAAGAAGGACAGAGTCACATGGATGCAGAGAAAGAGATACAGAGACATACAGCGAGGCAGACACTAAGGGGCAGAATAGAAGGACCATTCAGGCAGGAATGGAGGGTAGAGATCCAAACTCATAGAGACACCAAGCATGCAAGGACAGAGAAACAGACACAGACCTGGAGCCACACACAGGGACCCTACATAGACTCACTCCTGCAGAGAGCAAAACCACAGGACAGGTACTCAGAGGAGAGGGCCCAGTCAAGGACCAAATGACTTGAAGAGATCCTCCAGGACAGAGGGAGGCAGGCAGGTGGATGTGCTGAGTTGAAAAAGTTCATGCCGGGCGGTGGTGGCACACGCCTTTAGTCCCAGCACTCGAGTGGCAGAGCCAGGCGGATCTCTGTGAGTTCGAGGCCAGGCTGGTCTCCAAAGCGAGTTCCAGGAACGGCGCAAAACT